CGGTGTTCGCGCGGGGCGGTGTTCGCGCGGGGCGGCTTCGAAGCGACCGCACCACACGCTTCCTCATGGTCGGTGCGCGCTGGCGCTCCCGCAGCGGGGCAGGCTCCAGAGCCTTCCCGGCGGGAGAGAGCGACTGCGGCTCCTCTCGAGACATCAGCGCCAAGAAAACGCTTCTCTTCGTGACAAGGGAATAAAATCTCAGATCCTTCGTTCTCATTAACTTCCTTGAACCGCTGGCTGGTGTTTTCACTTGTAACGTCTGATTCTCCTTCTCCCACCCACTCTTCCCAGAGCAATCATGTTTGAAATCAAGAAGATCTGCTGCATCGGTGCGGGTTATGTCGGTGGGCCAACCTGTAGTGTTATTGCACAGATGTGTCCCAACATCCAGGTTACCGTTGTGGATGTCAACGAGGCCAGAATCAACGCCTGGAATTCGGATGCGCTCCCCATCTATGAGGTGAATGTCTCTTGCTGTTGTCTCTTCTTCCAGCCACTGTTGCATTTGCTTCTTACCCGCCACATGGCAATTGCCACATGGCCCCCTTCTGAAGCCTGAGACGTATGGCACGGTGATGGCCTTCAAAAAGAGTATTTTGGAACAGCAGCTTGTCACTACTGTTCATTAAACCAGATTGTTGAAATCCCTTAATATGGCTGGTGCAGGCAGATATTTAAGGATAATACGTGAAAGGCCTAGGAAGGAAAAATGCCATTGTGTATATAGTGAATTCTGCTAAATCATGCTGACTTTCTTTTAGGACCTAATTTAATCATAATTAGTCCTCTTACTGAGTTACAGATACCCGCTGTGTCGTAACGTAACATGGATGTGTAATACTGGGTGGTAAGGTTTATTCCCATTCTGAATGCTGCTGAAATCCAGTCTATGCTGCCCATCGTACCCATGTTGTAAGATGGGGACAGTCATGTTCCTGATTCACTTCTACCGTAAACCTCCAATCTGGCCTGGCAAGACTAGGTCTGATAAAAACTAGTTTTAATGGTATCCTGCTATCATTCCTTCATTACAGGATGACTTTAATTTGAAGATATATAAAGCATTTTTCGATTTTGCTTCTCTTCCCATTTGTTACTTTTCACTCCTAAAGAATAGGGTTGGGGTGTTTTTCTTCATCTCTTCATCTTTTCAAGAGACAGAGTTTGTATAGGTTTGAGTTCTTTAATGGAAGTGAAACTTCCCTTCACTTGGCTCCCAAAGACAAGGCATGTTGCCTGGTACTAACAGTTGCTCTTTTGCTATAAGAAGTTTTCTGAGTCCTGTCTATGCTGTAATGCTAATGTAGGGTTTTTTCCTCTTAAAACCAAACCTATACTATGACTCTTCAAATGAAGATGAATAGATCTCCTTTGTCATACATTTTCAAAGGAAAATGTGTATAATGCTTGGATTAGCAGGTGAGACATGAATAAAGGTCATGAAAGCAAAGACACTGTTGTCTATGAACACTTAGACTGAATGAGTTAAAGCAGAGCTAGTCTTGGCATGGTTCAGACCCCCAAACTCACAACATCTGTTTCCTGGAATGGTGTCCTCCGCTTACAAAGAATGTACGAAAACTGCCAAGAATTAGTTCAGACAGTTGCAAAATTGAGTCATTGCACAGTGAGGATTTTTGTATTTTTTTTTGTTTATTCCAGTGTCAGAAATTGTCTAGTGGGCTGCCTTTCTATTTACATCCCAGTAAAACCATAGTTGGAACACTCAATGGGTTGTAACACGTGTTATCCTGCCTGTGCTGACCTTTGTTTACCTTTTAAGTAGGTGTTTGGTATAAAGTGAGACAGCCAAAGTCCCTTGCACGAGAGATTCTGCTTTGTTTTCCTGTCTCTTCCCAGTGAACCGTTGTCTTTCTGGCACTTACTCAGATAGCTCATGTCATGATGGGCGTCTCAGGTTGGAGATCTGATTGCCAGGTTACAGTACCTGATTTTATTTTTCAAGCAAGAAGTAAAGTCATAAATAAAAGAAGCCAGCTAGCTTAGAATGCTCTACAACGTTATTTAACTAATATGGAGGGGTGCTCATGTACACATGACCTCCTGCTCCTCTTGTCTGTGTGGAGGTGTTAAAGGAAGGGGAAGTGTTCTGGCACGGTACGTGTCTTTGGTAAGAATTTTCTCTAATTATGCCTGTGATTCTTCCATGCTGCAGTTTTGGTGCCACAATAAATTTAATCTCGTCCAGACAGGAGTGGTGGCCAAAAGGAGAATGGTCTTTATCTCCTGTGTGTCTCCACTGCCTTTCTTTCACTGGATCTGGGCTTGCTGATTTGGAGTAGGACTTCTGTGGCTTTCTTTTGTGTGCTGAATCAGTTCTAGATCTGATCTTGGAAAGATCTGAAAGAGTTGGGACCACCTCTTGTTTGCAGCCTAGGAAATACTGTAAGACTTTACTACTTAAGTCTACTTAACCTCACTCTACAGGTATTTCTTTCCTTGTTGCTCCTGGTAGTAGAATTGAGCATGGGAATAACTGGTGGTGCAGACAACAGCTCAGTGTGGCTGAAAGTTTCAACATTTTGAGGGTTTTGAAAAAGAGGGCTTTTTTCGCTGTGTGAATTTATACAAGCGTTACTTTACGTCTGGCAGACTGAAAACGTGCCACACAGAGCAAAAAGTCTGTCTGAAACAACACGCTGTTTGCTTGGGCATGCAGTGTACTGTTCTTCTGACTGCATTAACCCTAACTGCTTTTTCTGCCTCTCTTTCAGCCAGGGTTAAAAGAAGTGGTAGAGTCCTGTCGCGGAAGAAACCTCTTCTTTTCCACCAGTATTGACGATGCCATCAGGGAAGCTGATCTTGTATTTATTTCTGTAAGTTTTGGGGGAGAAGGTGGTTGTGTGTGTCTTGTAAAATCGTTACGTTGCTCTTACGTTAGGAAGAGACTTCTGTTTCGTCACACAGATTCAGTTAGCAGTGTCATGCCATTGTGTCACAGTTCTCTCCTTGTCTGAGTACTCTGGGAAAACTGTTATGTAAGATTATTTTTTTTAATTTGGATCTGTTTCTTATAGCCAGTGGAATGTTTGACAAACGTACAGGCTCCAAGTTGATTATGTTGATGTTCAGCTTGGTTAGATGTGGGGGGTCTTAGAGTGGAATATAGTGCAGATCTGTCATTGTAGTGTACTGCTGACATCCATGGGACCTTTTGATATGGTTCCTAAGAAGGGATGCAAAATCAAACTGATTACTGGGTTACAAAGGTGACTCATTTCTAGAAGCTTTTAAAAAACCAGTGTATTAATGGAAGAGGGACTGACTTTAGTGTTTTCTTGCTCTAATATTTCTAAGCTGTCAACATCACTGTGAAGAAGATCCCGTCAAACATAAATAGTATGATCTTTTGTAATCTAGAAGGTGGTTCTTAATGCAGAACCCGAAAGAACTAATTGCTATTTGGCTTGGTAGGCTACGGTTAAGTTATTTTTGTTACTTACATCCTCTTTCCTTGAGACCTCCTCTTTGTTAGGGCACCTCAGTACAGAACGCTCTTTCTGACAGTATTTTTCTTCATTCATGAAGTCTAAAATGAATATTACTTGGCAGGACGACTGCCACTGACACAGGCCAAATGTTGCCACCTGTCCTTGGCGTAACACATGCTGCTGTGTTTTACGTGTTGTTGCCATTTCTTCTTTCAGTTTGTAATGAAAAGGACCCTCTGTCTTCATCGAAATGACGTGCTTTCCCTCATGTTGCCCTTTCTGTGTACTTCAGTATGGCAATTTTCAGCAGCTCTACACATATGGTTTCAACCCACTGTGCAGTGAAACTTAACTGCCTTACTAGCTGCAAGATCCCTAGTGTGGTGATGTTTTTGGTTTTCTTTTTTTGGCATCCCTAATGTGGAACAGGAAACAAAAGGTGGCTGGCTGTACTCATGAAGAAATTTCTGGTGTTTCCAGAACAAGGGCTAAGTTTCATCGATGCCTGCAGAGCTGCTGTGAGTTGTTCTTGGCCTCTGTTCAAATAGAATGTAAACAATGAGCTTTCTCTAGAAGACAATTGAGAAAACTAATAGCCGTTCATCAGAGATGGTAACTGGAGTAATTCTGGGGTAGGAGCAGGCTGGACTCTAGGAAGGAAAACGTCCGTCACTCTTACCAGTTTCACCTGGTCAGTAGCTCTTGCGGTGAGGCCTGTAACACTTCTTCCCTCTCTGTGTATTTATAACTAGGTTAACACTCCCACCAAGACCTATGGCATGGGAAAAGGCAGAGCAGCTGATCTCAAATACATCGAAGCCTGTGCTCGGCGGATCGTGCAAAACTCAAATGGCTATAAAATTGTCACTGAGAAAAGCACAGTTCCAGTGCGTGCTGCAGAGAGCATTCGTCGAATATTTGATGCCAATACTAAGCCTAACTTGGATTTGCAGGTGAGCATCATCTTTGAGTTGTGTATTTAAGGGCTGGTGGTTGCTTTTGGCGTTTATCTGTTTCTCTTCATCTGTGTGCCTGTAGGTGCTGTCTAACCCAGAGTTCCTCGCAGAAGGGACAGCCATCAAGGACCTGAAGAACCCAGACCGAGTGCTTATTGGTGGAGATGATTCCCCAGAGGGACAGAAAGCTGTCCGTGCTCTCTGTGCTGTTTATGAGCACTGGGTGCCCAAAGAAAAAATCCTCACAACCAACACCTGGTCATCAGAACTTTCTAAACTGGTTAGTGTTACTCTGCACTGAACAGAGGGGGCAAGTGAAACAAAGCTCAGAAGCACAAGTTCACTGACGCCGAGTGATGCAGCTAGGAGAGACAAATGAAGGTGGGAGGATGCAGTGTGTATGTCAAAGGATATTTATCTTTTCCAGTTATCTCAGCTGAGCTAATAGATGATATCAGCTTTCCATGAAATCCTCTTCTCACTTTTATTGCTCTTATTTATTGCTAAGAGTAGACCTCCAGTACTGCAGAGACTGGTCACCATCATAAAATGCTTCAAACTCTGCCAGTTAAACATGACATTGTTTTGATTAGATCCCATTAACTGGCATTTATATATTAAAGTAGTGATGTTACCATTTTGTATTGCAATGGAGTTACATAGATACTAACGTAATCCTTCTAGTAGTAACTCCCTTCAGTCTGTGGGCACCTTGTGGTTTCTGGAAGGATCATGTTCTCTCTCTATTTTTTTTTTTTATTATTTCTAGGCAGCTAATGCTTTCCTTGCCCAAAGAATCAGCAGCATTAACTCCATCAGTGCCCTGTGTGAAGCTACAGGGGCAGATGTTGAAGAAGTAGCAAGAGCTATTGGAACAGACCAAAGAATTGGAAATAAGTTTCTCAAAGCCAGTGTTGGTAAATGAAAAATCCCTTTTTTTCTTTATTTTTCTTCTGGGCTTCTGCTCAATAATGCAGTGGGTCTTCCAGTAGTGTTTTGAACCTGGTGCTCTGAGATCTTGTACAGCATGAGTGTGTGAAAATATTGCTGTTGGGTAGTAGTATAAATCAGTTCTTCAGCCTTAGACACTTCACCAGAAATAGCTCTAGAGGCTGGCAGTCTGGAACCCCAGAGCTCAGAGTACATGGTTTATCCTACCTGGGGCGCTGGAAAGAAAAGCCGCAACTTTATTTTTCTGAAGCATCGCTGATGAGAGTGCTGTCCAAGATGTCTTCCCAACTGTAACTGCTGCAGTTTGTCTGGGAGTTGCTGCCAGTGGCCTGCGGAAGGGGGTGCCTCTAGGTCAGAATGTGTGACAGTAACTTATTTGTAAGATGGATCAAGTTGTTAAATTTACTAGTGAGTAAGATGCAGTAAATGGCAATTAGTGCAGGAAACGTGCACACTTGTGGAACAAAACTAAAGTCTTATCTACATGGCTAGAGTCTTCATGCTGGGGAGAGAAAGTGTGACTTTAACCTTAAAGATAACCTCTGCTAGAGTCTGTGCAAGAGGGAAAACCAGCAAATATGTTACCGAAATCCCTCTTGGGTTATTGTAACTCCTTCTACAAGGTGTTGCTCCTGGGACTGCTGAGCAAAGTTCTAAGGGTCAAGGATCCCTCTGTTAATTGTCCCAGTTCTCCCTTAGTCAGCTGTGGTGATCTTTGCTTCAAAGTATTCATCTAAATCGCTAGGTGGGGGACAGAGCAAACCAAGAAACTCATTCACGCTCTTGTAATAATAATAACCCCTAGTTTTTTTCTTATGTGTTTCCCTGAGACTGGGTTACAACTTCCGTTTACTTCAGTAGGGCCTGAAGCAGATCTTAGGGCTTCTATAACTAAGTAGGTCCAGGGCTTAGATTTTGAGAGATTCTTGAGGTTTTCATTTGTTAGCAGTGAAATACTGGGGAAAAAATATAATGCTGACTATGGCATTGATTGCCAAAAACTACCTGATTCCAGAGACTGAATTAGGATAATGCTTAAGTCAACCACTTTCTCTTTCAGGGTTTGGAGGTAGCTGTTTTCAGAAGGATGTTTTGAATTTGGTGTACCTCTGTGAGGCGCTGAACTTACCTGAAGTAGCCCGCTACTGGCAACAGGTACACATTCCTCACTGATTTTTTTTTTTGAGGGGGTTATGTTTCTTCAGCTTTCAGGTATTGAGTTCTTGAGCATTGCGCACACATAATCTGTCCTTCAGCTTTAAGAGCAGATACCTTAACGGTGATCATCTTTACATTTTAAGGCTCTCAGCCTAATGCTGGCCTTTGATACTTGTGGGTGCTTAGGCTTTTTTGGGGTGAATCAAGCTGTCTGGATCCAATGGATTTGGAAGCTGTCTAGAAGCAGCAGTAGAAAATGTGAAGTACAAGCATGTCTGGGCTCCTGCCTTCCGCTTACACATGGTTATCTCTATCCACTTGGAATTCAGAGCGCATGATCTTTTTCACAGGGTCTACCTTTACAGTTTCTTTTCTGAAAGAACTCAGCAGAACTTGCTCTTCTTTTAAACAAACACGGTTGCTGCTGTTTCCTGGTTAATGTTAGGAATGGTTGGAAGACGTGGGCGCTCTCAGGCGTAGCGCCAACACAGTGGTATCGGGATGCTCGGTGTGTACTAGCAAGTGTTTCTCTATTAACCAGTGAAAGCGCCTCACCCCTGTCCCAGCCTTGACAGAGAAAGCAGCTTTGTTATATGTGATATGGTCAAAGGAACAGCTTTGGTATGTTGTCCTGACTTAGGCTGCGGTGTGTGAGTATAAGGCTGCCTAGCAGATGCCTCCAGAATACCAAGTGCATGATTTGCCTACCTTATTAGCATCTTTCCTTTTTTCCAATCTTCCTTCTGGCTAGCTTCCCCC